CTATGCCAATTAACCAAAGACCTTACCAGTACCTAGGAATACAAAAGATATTATAGAAAAAATAACACATGAAATGTTAGAAGTAGGAATAATCAAAGCAAGTGTCAGTTCATTTGCTTTTCCAGTTGTTCTAGTCAAGAAGAAAGATGGTTCATGGTGAATGTGCATTGATTATAAAGCCTTAAATCAGTACACTATAAAGGATAAGTATCATATTCCCCTCATTGAACAATTATTTGATGAGCTAAAAGGTGCTAGCTATATTTTCAAAAATAGACCTAAGGTCCAGCTACCACCAGATTAGAATGTACCTACTTGACATCCCCTAAAATAGCCTTCAAGACACACGTGGGTCATTATGAGTACTTGGTAATGCCATTTTGCCTCACCAATGCTCCTTCCATTTTCCAATCACTCATGAATGACCTATTTAGGGCTTATCTCAAACAATTTGGACTAGTATTTTTTGATGAGATGCTAGTGTATAGTCAAGACATACAAGAACACATAAAGCACTTGAGAAAGGTTTTTCACATGTTGAGAGAAAATCAATTGTTTGTTAAAAGGAGCAAGTGTTTCTTTGGCTGTGAATGAGTAGAATACTTGGGACATTTCATCATTAGCGGAAGGGTGGCAACAGATCCAAAGAAGATAGATAGTGTATAGAAATGGCTGAAACCAAAATTTATTAAAGAGCTAAAGGAGTTCTTAGGTCTAATTAGCTATTATAAAAGGTTTGTTAAAAACTATGAGGCTATCAACAAACCTTGGACTGAATTATTAAAAAAAAAGATGGGTTTCCATAGTCAACCCAAGCATTAAAGGCCTTCCAAACCTTAAAAAATGCCATGGCAACAGCTCCTATGTTTAGATTATCAAATTTCTCAAAGGAATTTGTAGTCGAGATAAATGCTTCAAGAATGGACATTGGAGTAATTCTAATGCAATAAGGGCACCCTATAGCATTTATTAATAAAGGTTTTTCACCAAAACACCAAGGGATATCTGTTTATGAGAAAGGGCACCTTATAGCATTTATTAATGAAGGTCTTTTACCAAAACACCAAGGGTTATCTGTTTGTGAGAAAAAGTTATTAGCCTTAACACATGCAGTAGGAAAATGGTCACATTATTTGATGGGAAGGCATTTTGTAGTCAAAATGGGCCATCAAAGTCTCAAACATTTACTTGAGCAAAGAATTAATATGGTGTTGTAGCAAACTTGGGTCACTAAACTTATGGGATTCAATTTTTCTATAAGTTACAAAAAGGGGATGGAAAATGTAATGGCAAATGCATTGTCAAGATTGCCAAATAGTGAGTTGCTGACCATAAGCGTCTCAATCATTTCTCCTAGTCTCTATACTGAAGTGAAACAGAGCTGGGAGGAAGATCCTGTGCTCAAGGCATTGTGTGAGCAACTTAAACAAGGAGTCATCTTCAATTTTAGTTAAACATGGAGTGAAGAACAACTAAGGAAGAAAGGAAGATTGGTGGTAGGGAACAATGCAACTGTGAGGAGGACATTGACTCACTTAATGCATGACAATGCTTTGGGAAGGCATTTAAGAATGTAAGCAACTAGCAAAAAATTGTCCTTGCTTTTTTATTGGAAAGGGTTAGATAAGGATGCCAATAATTATATAATAGGGTGTGATATTTGTCAAAGGTATAAACCAAAGAACAGTCCTACTTTAGGGTTATTACATCCATTACCCATTCCTGATACTATTTGGTCACACATCAATATGGACTTCATTGAAGGACTACCCAAGTCTCATGGTAAGGAAGTTATTTTGGTTGTGGTGGATAGACTCAATAAATATTCTCATTTTGTGGCATTACAACACCCTTATACAGCACTGAGTGTGGCACAAATTTTCTTAGATAGCATCTGCAAACTTCATGGTCTTCCACAAGTTATTATATTTGATAGGGATCCTATGTTCCTTAACAACTTTTGAAAAGAGTTGCTTAAATTACAAGAGTAGAATTGCAATATTCAACAACACACCATCCCTAAACAGATGGATAAACAGAGGTGGTTAACTGGTGCCTTGAGACTTGCCTACATTGCATGTTAGGAGATCAACCGCAAGATTGGAGTAAGTGGCTTCCCTTGGCAAAATGGTGGTATAACACCAACTTCCATACATCTACCAATATCACACCATTTGAGGCCTTGTTTGGATATGTTCTACCTATTCATGTTGCTTATGTGCTAAGAGTTTTGATGTAGAAACTGTGGATAGAAGTTTGCAATCTAGGAAGGCAATGACAAAGGTGCTGAAATTTCATCTAAAAAAAGCACAACAAAGGATAGTTAACCAAGCTAATAAGCATAGGCAGGATAGGCAATTTTCCATTGGGGATTAGGTCTATATGAAATTGTAGCCATAGAGGCAAAATACCATACAACACCTAGCTCATCAGAAACTTTCTCCCAAGTATTTTGGCCCATTCAAGACTGTTGACAAAGTGGGATCAATTGCTTATAAGTTGGAATTACCAGCAACTTCTCAAATACATCCAATTATACACTTCTCTTAACTCAAAAAGATGGTGAGGTAAGGAACTCCTATTTTTGTTCAATTGCTAACTAATTTATCAGAACCTCTACAACCTATACTTGTTGCCATTTTGGATAGGAAAATGGTTAAGAGGGGAAGTAGGGCTGCAACCAAGGTTCTTGTTCAATGGTTGAATGGATTTCTAGAGGATGCTACATGGGAGTTCCTCTTTGATCTTTCAGAGAAGTTTCCAAACTTCCATCCTTGAGGACAAGGATGCTTTAATGGGGAAGAAGATGATATGAAAAAATAATAATAATAAGCTAGGTCGGCAATTCAAGAGTTGAGGTGTCAAGTTGAATTAGTGAACAAATATCCTGAATTGTCGATGACAAATGGCAACCATAGACTCATTATGTTATTTCCTTTTACTTTTTTTGCATTTTTTCTATTGGGCTATTTTGTCTAGTAGTCGAGAATCATCAACACCAGTGTATATATGTTGTGATTCCTCATTGTGTGTATGAGAATATTCTAGTTTCTTCTTCTTTGAACCCTATGTATCTCTTATTTCTTTATGTAATTCAAATTTATTGAGGAATACATATCAGGGATCTTTCTTTCTCTGATAGATCTTCCTTATTGTTTCTCATTTATATTTCTTTGGTGTCACAACAAAGTAGGAGAACGACACTAAGCTAGGTAGAAGATGAAATTAAGGAGATGTGCACTGCATGCCCCCAACTTTGTTAGCATTTTCTCTTGAGCCCATTTTAATTGAACTTCTACTCCCTCATTTTCTTTAGTGTCTCTAGTTTAGTCTTTATATTTATTTTCTTTTGATTTTCTATTTAGAGTCAATGTAATGGGTTGTTAAGCGGTCAAAACAATACTTGCTAACTAAAGTATCCAACTCAAGCTTGATTCAAAGCAATAGATAGATTAGCTTCACAAGCTACTTTATTATTTTTTAAACTAGGTCTTTTTCTTAAAGGAAATTTTATAATTATAAAAGATGCACAGTAGCAATCATACATACTTATAAAAGTGGGTTTACAAAATTTAATGAATAATTTGAGTTAGCCCAGCCTTGAATCATTATATTGTTCTCATGAAAACATAAGAAAATAAAATCAAATTTAGAGGGTTAAATCCCTCAATCTAAAATACTTCTTGAGAATCTAAAGTCAAATTTCCTACATTCTTATGACTTAGCATTAGAAGCAAAAAATTCATCACTTATTTTTCCATTGCCAAATTCCCAATCAAAGAATTATCAGTAATTGAATTCCACTTTACCTTGATGCTTCCATAACTTAATCTTAGCCCCCACACCCTCATCATGTCCAACACCCAAAACAAACGCTTAGTTTTTCACATACCCGACCACCATCCTAGCTCTATTGCAAGCCAACACTTGTCCACCAACATCTCCGCTACCCTGCACCATTCTACCAGCCTCTGCCAAGCTCTAGCCATCACCTTCCTCTTGCAAACCCCTCACACTTTTGCCAAATTTGCCCTCGCCCCTATGATTCTGAATGCAACTCCCCAAAACCTTTTATAGCACCTCACATCCAATAGTTCTCATCAGCCCAAAAACCATAACTATCCTCCCTTGAAAAGACCCTCAACCACTCTCCATGTTGCTTCTTAATCTCACCTTCATTTTCCTTGTTAAGTTGCAACTCACATTCCCACTTCAAATGTGTTATTGTGTTAGAGTATGCCTTACAAACTAGGGTTGGTAAGACAATTTTATGTACTTGTGATTATAGTTATTATGTTTATGATATTTATAAAACATTAATTATTATTTTTCTACATATATTAAATATTTAAAAATTCATCCATGATATTATATATATTTACTTATTTAATAACATGTAATAATTACAATTCTAATAAATATTTTAATTATATCATTGTTGATATCCAGGGGGCTCTTTAATGTGATCATCAACATTCCCTTCCAAATGTATATCAAACTTGGAAAATGACTTTAGTAATAGTGGCATAGTTAGAAAAAATTTTTAAGTTGAGCAAAATAAAACTTTAACCAAGTGACACAATTATGGATTAATTAAAGGTTAAACCCCTATTTTGGTCCCTAAACTATTGTACGGACCCCCGATTTGGTCCTTGAACTAAAGAAATCCCTAATTTGGTCCTTGAACTATTATACGGAGCCCTGAGTTGGTCCTTAAACTATTGTATGGACTCCTGAGTTAGTCCCTAAACTATTATACAGATCCCCAATTTGGTCCTTACTGTTTACCGATTTAGCCCCAACTTCGTCTTTCTGTTAAATAATAGCTCAGGGACCAAATTGGGGCAAAATTGTAAACAGTAGGGACCAAATTGGGGGTTTGTACAATAGTTCAAGGACCAATTTAGGCCAAATTATAAACAGTGGGGGCCCAATCGAGGATCTGTACAATAGTTTAGAGACCAAATCAGGGATTTCTTTAGTTCAAGGACCAAATTGGGGGTTCGTACAATAGTTCAGGAACCAAAATAGGGATTCAACCTTAATTAAAAAGTGGATAAAAGGGAAACATTAAAAAAAAAAAATAAAAGAATATATTTCTAATAAAATTTGTTAATCTTTAACATAAACAAACCATGTTTAATGACGTAGTATAAATCCCATTAGAGAAGCACAAAAATGAACATATATTGATTTTTTTTTTTTTAGTTTGGAGGAAGATCAATTTGTCCTCAGGGCCTATTTGCATGCACCTTGAGACTAATTCATATCCAAATAACTTTAAAAGCACACCTTCTACATCAGTTAGGTGCATTTAAAAAAATTAATTTCATTGAATACTGATCACAAAACTTGAATCCTAAATTTAACCTACAATACAACACTTGAAAAAACATATATTGATTATAAAAATATAATGAACAATAAATAGAAAGCAAAATGATATTAGTAAACAAATACTTTGTAAAAGAATAATATGGAACAACTTTTCATTCCATTTATCTTTATATTTCCTCATCTTTGATATTATCTTTATTTTAATTACCTTTCTTAGTATCACCAAAAGTATAATAATATAGAAATAAAAAAGAATTGAAATGATATGAAATAAATAAAGAAAGAAATAATAACAATAGAACTAAATGGACCAAACTAGTAATTTTACAAAAGTTTAGGGGGGCTAGCCTCTTTTAGCTCTACCATTGTTTAGTAATAAACTTTAAGTTATGACCAACTTGCACTGGTTTAAGTGTTACATGAATGTTTAATAACTTATTTCAAAATCTCAACAATAAATGTAACGCTGGAATTTCTAAATTAACCCCTTAAATTTTAAAATGTGTGGTTGAAAATTGGTGTTAAAGATTATTAAATTTATACTAGTGTAGATTGACCTCTACTTATGAAACTTTCCCTGATTGCAAAAAGTGGTTTTCATTTTTTAGAAAAGATTTGCCAAACACAATCAAATTAATGATAGAACTCCTGAAACCTTAGAATTAGCAGCAAAATATAATTGAATTGGTGGGTAATATTTGTTGTTTTCAATGACTTTTTACACTCTTAGACACTAATTTGAGTAAATTGGAAACAAACCATAGTTGGAGGGTGATATGGAACTTTCACTGAAGGCCATATACCAGTAAAGCTCCAACTACACCTAAACCACCCAACAACCCAATAATGACACCAATTGGAGGTAAAGCCCCACCAATAGGTTTTCCAGTTTTTACATCATATCGTGCAAATCTCTTTTTGGGCGCTTGACATTGAGGGCATATATATGCGTCCGGCTGCATCATATCGAAGAAGTTCAAAAGCTTTTCAATGATAATCAGGTGATTGAATGAATCATTATATGTAAAGTAGTTATCATTTTAACCTATTTGCAAGCCTGTGTGCATGCCTTCCACTATGATCTACTACAGTAGGAGGTTAGTTACTTAAATGGTCTAACTAAACATGATCTAATATATAATTCAATTTATTTTTTTGTAGATGAAGCAATATATTAATGAGTTACTAGAAACAGGTATTCAAAAATTTTCTTATAAACAAAGAAGATGCTTGCCTGCTCATCAAAAGGCTTCTGTAAAGTGTATATGTATCCACAATCAAGGCAGATGTGAGTAGCTCTTGCCTGTAAAATGGTGTACATGATTAGTGATTCTAAATAGAATTTGTGGAGTTATTTATTTCATACACATGGATATAGACATGAAAACTCATTCTCACATGCAATTTTTGTTTCATGTCTTCCTATCTAATGATAGAATTTTTTAGCATACCTATTTTGAAGGCCTCGCCCAAATCTGTCACACTCAGCACAGTTAGCCAACCTATCAACTCTCTTGAAAAACCCCAGCACAAAGTACTTGGACCATCAAGTATTATGCAATCTAAATCAAATACCAATTGCCTTGGCTAGGCCTCAAAAAGACACTAGCCTGTTATTTGATGACACCCCACTATTATAAAGGTCCTAAGACATCTCTTTGCCTATGAATATGGGATTTGGACAACCTTCCCACTCCTCTTGGAACACTTCTTGTGATATGGGCATCAATGCATGCAAAATTAAGCAGAATATTGTCTTATGTCAAAAATATGCTTGCCTTTTGTGCCTCAGTCAACTTCCTTCCAAAACGGGGTGGTGCTGGTCTTTTTGTTAGTCGTTTAACATCCACATCTGCACCTCTGCATTATGAAATGGATGAAGAGTTGTCAGTTAGAGATCATACCCAAAAAAAAAAAGAAGTAAAGCAATACTAATACATGATTAATATTGGATCTTCAAGTTCTGTTTTGTTTTTTGGAAAGCAAGGGTATCTAGGCCTTTGGCACAACTATAAAGTTCTATTTTTTCATTCTACTCAAACTAATTAACTATGAAGTGTCTTTATGATTCACAAGCAAGGAGCGAATTAAAGGCATGATATTTCTACCAAGAAAATAGGGAGTGGCTATTGTCACACCCTAACGTGTTAATGCCACTCTAAAATGTTGCTCTTTTCTTTTTATATCCTTTAATTAATGAGTTTCTAGAAACACCATTCTCACAAACTTTTCATTTTATTTATGGGTAAAAGGTCAAAACAGTAATTTAGCATGACATTAACAATCAAGGGTGT